ATGTTAGCTGCATTTCTTTCCAAAAAAAAAATGTTATGATTAATTGATTTAATGAAGTAAAATGTATATTGATTAATCATGATTAAGTAAAAAAGGTTGATATTTAAATACATAATATGTATGTATGTTTATGTATTAGTTTAATGTAGCTATTTATATAGGTAAATTTTTATAATATTTGATTTTTTTTACGATAGAGTAGAGATACAATCTAGTTTAGATCTCTTAGGAGTTTAATAAAGTCTTTTATCTTTAATTTACAGAAGGTTTAGTTATTTTTGTTTTCACACAATATTTAATATTTATTATGGAATCTGATTATATTGAGTTATAAGGTAGGAAAGTCTTAACTTGGGGATAAGATTTTCCTATCTAAAGAAAACTCGTTTTTAAGACTCAAACTAAAAATATTTGATTACGAAAGTTTACCACTTCAATCACAACCTTTGATGGACGAAAGGTTTGGTTAAAAAGAAAAAAAATCACTTGTAATTGTGCTGGCGATATGATTTAAATTTTTAATCTAATTATGGTTAAGCAAGTTGTATCAAATTTGTACTTATATTGCAATGGTTGTTTATGCGCTACAACACTAAATTATTAGTACTCCAAAATAATGAATTAACTTAAACACAATAGAGAATAGATGGTAACAAATATCAAAGCAAGAAATTATATAAATAGGTTAATACTACGATAGATATGACACTTCAAACTCTTACCAACCCTAATCCCATCAAAAAGCAAGACGACGATTAACTACTTATTAAATTTCTATTCTAATTTGTGGTTAGTGGCGGAGTTAATTTTTTCAATAAGGGGTTCAAAATCTGAAGACATAGACACACGAAGTAGCTGAAAGAGGGTTCGACATTTACTATATATACCTAAAAAATTATTTTAACCATGTATAAATAATAAATTTTCCGTCAAAAGGGGTTCGCTAACTATAAGGTGGCTCTGCCACTGTCTGCGGCCTAAGTACTCCCCTATATATCTAGATCATATCCTCGATAACTGAAGTTGCCTCATATTTTTATTTTGTTTTAATATTATTTTGGTGGGAATGTGTGGGAAAACAATTTAATATAAAGTTTTACCTTGTCTTGATCTTGTAGTTTATTACTAATATGGAATAAACTAAATATAAAGTTGACTCACCCAAAAATAGATATCTAAAGGAAAGTCACTCTCACAACGCGTTTCATCCAATTAAATTGTCGAATATGTTAGCCACATTGAAATCAAATTAGATCCACATATAAAATGTACACTATGAGATATAAAATTTAGGTGAAATTTATTTTTATTTAATTTGGACAATATTAAATGATTTTATACGACGAAAAATAGAAGCATGACTTTGTGTGATAAATTAAAAGTTAAATAATTTTATCTAATAACCATTAAAGTTGAATGAATTCTACGTGACAAAAAATAAAAAATGTGATTCGTCAATGAAATTAATTCAAATATCCATATATTATATATTAGAAAATTGACTAAATTTCACGTTTAAGGAGTTGAATTATTAATATGATTAGAGCAAGGATATATTTGAAAAAACAATATAATTAATCATGTTTTGATTTCTTTATATGACAATTACTTTTTTGTTTCATTTTACTTGATTCATATCAACATGATATAACTTTTAAATTTTTATTATTAGAAATGTATTTTACTAAATTAATCTTATTAACCATGCTTTAAAACTCTAGAATAGTATTGTATAAACTAATGATAATATGAAGAGGTAAAAAAGTAATAATTTTTTTTGATTTGTTAAAATAGATAATAAAATTGAAAAAAATATGTTTAATATAAAGATAAAGTAAAATAAAATGAAGAGAGATCTACCATCTAGAATGAACACATTTAATTTGCAAGTTTCATAATCATGTCAGAAACAAAAACATGAATTTCAATCTTTCAGACATTTGGTAGTTGAAATTCATTTTATCCCAGCAATTAAAGGCAAAGTCAAAATTTGGACTTATGAGTTTGAGTTTGAATTTTTATCATAATATATTTAATTATTTGATATAAAATTTATTATCTATACTTAATACTTACTCTAGTCCATAACAACTGTATTGTTAGAATTTTTTTAATAGTTTAAAATAATTCAATTTTTTAAAGTTAAAAAAAGTTATTGAATATTTTTTCTTCATATTTTCTCTTCGTTAAATAAAATTCTTAATTATTTTATATTTTTTAAGATACTAGTTTGGAAATAATAAAAAATGTAATAATGATATATAATTGATAATTTCTGTCCGTAACTATTTTTATTAAAGAATACGTCACATCTTAATATTTACTTCATATAAATTAAGGAAAATATATTTTAATATGTATATAGAATCTGAACCGTAGCTACTAATTTAGGGTGAGCTTATATAACATATAAAACATATAATGCGGGTGGAGAATAAGCTACTAGACGAGGATGAGCACAAAAATATTCTATGTGTTTGTGATTTATTTGTCTTATTTTACCTTGATATGAAATTCAAATGCATTAAGAATTTTTTTTAATTTTGTTGTGTTAATTATGTTATGTGAAAAAATAGAATTAAAATATTGTCTAAAAAAGTTTTCTTGTTTTAAATAAATTTAAAAAACTAACAATATATTTGTCTTCTTTTAATTTGATATGGAGTTTAAATGTATTAAAATATTTTTGAATTTTATTGTATTAAATATGTCACATAAAGAATTAGAATTAATATATATATTTTTTAAAATAAAATTTAAAAGTAATAAGACAAACAAATTAAATTAAAATTTAACGAAACAATATAAATATAAATATATAATATTGGTGGAGGAAAGTAGGTAAAGACTTGTTTGGTTTTCTAAATTATTTTAGTCTGCCATCTCACGTGACACTTTAGCATCTGTCATCTGATAAGTGATAATGAACTAACCACACATTTTTACCTTTCTTTTCCTTTTTATTTTTATTTTAAGTTAAATTTAAACTGGTTAGTACAAACAAAAATGAATTTTATAGGGAAAATGGTTGAAAAATATCTGAACTTTGACCGAAATTGTTGTAACAATATTAAACTTTGAAAAGGACCTTTTACCCTCTTGCACTATTTAATAGTGTATTTTAAAGGTATATAGGTGTCCACGTGGATATCATAAATATTGCATATTTATAAATAGTAATGTGTCCACGTGGACACATATATACATTTAAAATACACTATTAAATAGTGCAGGGGGTAAAAGGACCTCCATAAAGTTTAGTATCATAACATCAATTTCAGCCAAAGTTAGAGTATTTTTCAAACTTTTTTCCCTATTTATAAGTTTATCTTTTAAATTTTATTTTAAAAAGACGTTATTTTTTTATAATTAAAAATAATTTAATTATATATTTTTTTCACTCTTAATAAAATAATTTATAGTCGATCACATACAAATAATTAAAGAGTATTTTAAATCATAAATTTATAAAGTTGTTATATTTAAACTTTGTATCATTTTAAACAATGTGTATAAATACAAATAGAGAGAGTGAAATATAAATAGTCATTTAATATTTAAAAAAATATATAATAAAATTTTCTTATTCTCATATATTTAAAGTAAATTGAAATAATTACTTTTAGTATAATTTACAAAAATCTCATAGTGTTAAAAATTAATGACATTATTTTCTACTCTTTTTCAAATTACAAAAATTCCTTAAACTTTAGGATTTCGGATACAAAACTAGATTTCCGGATACATCATTGGACTTCCAGATACATAAGTGAGGGATGTATTAGAGAGGGGATAGGACATCCGGATACGTCACTAAACTTATGGATATATCAGCAGATATCCGTGTACATATATAAAGGGATGTATCCAAGAGGGGGATAATGATGTATCGGCCAGAGCAGAGTGATGTATCCGTGAGGAAATTTTTGAAATTCTTTTAAATGGTAGAAAATTATAGTAAAATAAAACGCATATTTAAATAATTTTTCCTTATTTTTTTTTAATATAAAGTCAAATAATGTGAACGGGGAAGTATTAAATTGAAACTATAATAAGTTTGAATTGTGCATCATTAAATTTCTCTGTTTTTTGACTTGGTAAAAGAAGAGAGTGCTGATAAGTTGTACTAGCCCATACTGATATGTTTTAATGCTACTAGTACTACTACATTTTAGTATTTAGATCAGAATCTTCTAGATCCTTTTAAGAAAAATAAAATACATTGATTTAATTCAGAGTCTTATATGAAAAGAAATTACTTTACTTTCTTTCTTTCAAATTAATTGTCATGTTTTATTTTTTTTTAGAGTTAATTGTCATGTTTTATTTTTTTAGAGTTAATTTAATTTATTTTTAAAGTGTATAATATTTTTAGGTTAAAATTTATATGTATTAAAAAATTATATAAAAAAGATACTATTAGTTACAATATTTCTCACATCAAAATACTATATTTGTAAATATCGATCAAAATTAACATGATTTAACTTTTAAGAAAATGAAACATGACAACTAATTTGAAACGAAAGAGTTATATGTCATCTAGTTAAATTCCTCATCAAGGGATTATTTTAATTTGGTATTACTATGTAAAACGTTAAATATTTCTTTATTCATATTTAACTGAATCAATTTTATTAAATATCTTGATAAAAAATATATATAACTAAAATAACATTTATAATGAAATATATTATCACCCAAGTCTTCATATGTGATATATAAATGCACAGAAGGAAAAGAAACAATTGTTTTGATCAAATTACAATCTGAATAAACAGTTATCTTTACAAAATGTCATATTTAATTTTCAGTTAATTAAGTCAAAAGTTGAATGACTTTTACGTTACAGAAAATAAAAATAAAAATTGAAATACTTTTAAAACTTAAATTTAACTTTTAAACTAGTTGACATATTTCTAACTTTTTTTTTTTGTTTGTATATTTTTTAAATGTTAAAACAATATTACAAAATATAAATCATATATAACTATTTATACCCTGTGAATGAGATAGCCACAATCAAACACTCACAAAAAAAATAACTAACGCTTCCTGCTACCTCTTCTTCAAATCCACGTCGACATTCCGGCAATCTTCTCCGATCAATCTCCGTTTCCGGCCATCACCTTCTCCAATAAAAAAATGATTAAAATAGAATGAGGATTTCCATCGGTGACCTATCATGTCAGTCTCTTACTCCGACTGCTTCTCCGACCTACTCTGCGGCGAAGACTCCGATACCGTTTTCTCAAACGGAGGAGGAGAGGATTTGCCGGAATGTTCCTCGTCGGATATCGAATCTCAGTTCGCCGATATAGATGAATCAATCGCCGGTCTTATCGAAGATGAACGAAATTTCGTACCGGGATATGACTATATCGAGAAATTCCAATCTCAATCTCTAAGCGCCGCCGCTAGAGATGAATCTGTTGCATGGATTCTCAAGGTATTATTCATCGATAGCACAGTAAACTCCGGCGATCGGCGCATGTTAGATTTTTGTTACTTTTATTTGCTAAAATACACTTGTAGTTAACACTATGCACTGTACAAAACTGAATCGAATAACTAATTCAGTTTTTATTTTTTTTGCAGGTACAACGCCACTATGGTTTCCAGCCATTAACGGCGTATCTCGCCGTTAACTATTTCGATCGTTTTCTCTACTCGAGAAGCTTGCCGGTAAATCAGTCATTTCCCTTTCTTTTTTTTTTTGAACGGAAAATATTTATTTATATTTGATAAGTTATTTCCGATTTTATAAATTTAAACTGAATATGTTATTGTTATTCTCTCACGATGAGGTGTGGGTATGAGAATAAGACTAATGAAAAACTTCGGTGTACAATTAATGATTGGTGTCATATTTAAGGGTTGTTTAGGTATTTTGTTATGTGAATTATCTTATAGTAGTCATTTCAACTATAGGATTACATTTGACTTTTGGTTACACGTAAAGAAAAGTTAAGTAAGCTGTAAATGCATAAACAGGGTCTAATTATACTAATTTTTGGTCAGATCTAGTGGGATTAATCTAAAAACAGCAAAGACAAATTCAACTAATTGGGTCCTCATTGTTTCTGTACTGTTTTTGTGTGTTGTATATATTAACACTAGTACTAGTTTTTTTGTAACGGAGGTTGTATAAAAGTACAAGATCTTTTTGTTTTATGGTCTCACCAATAATAATTTGATGTAAATTTTTGTAGTCTCACCAAAAACCAATGAGTTGTAAAGGGTATTTCATTTAGTAAAATAGGAAAAAGAATATAAGAGAATGGAATAGTACACTTGAAAGTTGATCAAAAGGTATTAAAAAACTTTTTAAATACTTGAATGTGTTGTATAATTTAATGTTATATTATTATATAAGGCATGCTGGGCAATAATTTAAGTGTACGTGACATAGGTTGTAAAAGTATTTGTTCTGGAGGTCCGCTTGTCTCTTTAGGGGAATTGATTACATATATATGTGTACTATTTTATTTGTTTTATCGAGTAATCTAATCGAGTTGGAGATGGAGATGGAGAGTGCTTACATTTCATCAACTCAATTATTCTATTTTATTTTGTTAGTTATGTGAATTTCGCTTTCAATGTAATTTCAGCAAACAAATGGCTGGCCACTTCAACTATTGTCGGTTGCTTGCTTATCTTTAGCAGCAAAAATGGAGGAACCTCTTGTTCCTTCTCTTTTGGATCTTCAGGTACTTTTGTTTTTATTTGATTGTTTTCGTCTTGTAAATTGAAAAGGATGACCATTCATGTGATTTGACGATTTTTTATTTTTACTTCATTAGGTTGAAGGCGCGAAGTATATATTTGAACCAAAAACTATCCAAAGAATGGAGTTTCTTGTGCTGAGGATATTAGATTGGAGGCTCCGATCCATAACTCCATTTAACTTCCTCAGTTTCTTTGCGGCTAAACTTGATTCACTAGGAACTTTCACTGCGGTCCTTATATCAAGGGCTTCTCAGATTATCCTCTCTAATATTCAAGGTTCGTTTTTCTTTTTATCCTACTAAAAAATAAGCAGACGTATATTACACATGCATGCATGAGTATTTATACATGACTGTATAAATAACTTCGTATACTATGGGTGTATTTGTTATTATTGTAGTGTTATCGTTTAGGTGACTTAACTTGTTAGGGGTGATATTTACAGAAGCTAGCTTTCATGAGTATTGGCCATCATGCATAGCTGCAGCTACAATACTATGTGCAGCTAAGGACCTTCCAAATTTCTCTCTTGTGAATGCTGAACATGCTGAATCCTGGTGTCATGGACTCCGCAAAGTAAGAATAAATTTGTATTATCTGTCTTCTAGTAATAACTCTCTATTATTGAATCTTAGATTTTAGAATAATAAAGTTATCTCCTCTTTTTGGCAGGATAAAATCGTGGGCTGCTATGAATTAGTGCAAAAGTACGCAATTGCATTAAGGCCCCGGAGATTTCCAAGAGTATACCCACAGGTACGAGTCATGACTCGGACTAGTACTACTACTACTGTAGCATCTAGTGACTCGTCGTCCTCATCATCATCATCTTCTTCCACATCTTATAAAAGAAGAAAATTAAATAACAGCTGGTGGAGTGTCACAGATGACGATAGTTAATCCGTGGGAATGAACGAACATTAAGAATAAGGATCCTCAGTAAATTTTCATCTTTGAGGGTGTTTTGAGTTTTAATTTGACAGATGAGTGTTGTAGATTATATATATATCTAATAGAGAAGAAGAAGAAGAAATGCCATTGAATAAATGGCTTTTGCAGATTCCCAAGGGAAAGGGGATTTGGTACATATTATTTTGGAGATTGTTTAATTATAGGTAGCAAAGTAAGTGGAGTGATATGGAGAAGTGTGAATCAAGTGGGGTTTGTGATTGAAGTTCAAAGAGAGGATTGATTATTGAACGGAAAAAAGGTATTGTGGAGCCCATTGCAAAGAATTTGAATTAAAATAAAAAATTTGAGCAAGATGAATAAGTCAAGAAGGCTCTTGATTTATAAAACTATAATATAGGGCCACCATTATTGCTTCCAACTTCAACACTAGCTCCAAGAAAATGAATGAATCCACTCAAGGAGAAAGCAAAAAAAAAAACAAGGGATTATTGAACTACAAGAATAACAGTTGGCTCTGTATATTCAGACTTTTGGTTTGAGGTGTGTTCTCTACACAAGTGTGTATGTGTGTTTTTTTGGCGGGAAAATTTGCCTTTTTTTTTTTTTGTCCTAACAATATACTGGACTTTTTTTTTTTTTTCTTTCAAACGTGTAATGGATACACGTTTTTATTCTTTTAATTTATTTTTTTCTTAATCAAAAGAGGAGGTAAATATGTAAAAATACCACCTCTGATCTTTCTGGCTAAAATTTAGCCTAACCATACAAAGGGTCTTTGGGGCCTTTTTAGATTTCCTACTCAAAAGTGTGTTGTATTATGGACTCATGTATCAAACATGATGTTACATATATGAAATAAAATAATAATAAAATGTTTCATTTGGGATGGCATTTGTTTATTTATTGTGTGTTGTATTTCGATTATTATCCTATTTTGTTGTAATTACTATACTATTTCGTTATGCGTTTTTCTTTTTAGCCAAAGGTTTATTGAAAACAAGTTTTTTTATTTTCCAAGGTAGGGTTATGATCTGGGTACATATACCTCTTCAAACCGTACCACCGCTCACAACATACTTAGTGAAATTTTACAAGTGGGATCTAAGAAGGATATAATGTATATAAATCTTATTAGTTCTATCTTGTGAAGATAGAAAAATTATTTTCGAAAAATTCTCAACTCAATACAACAACCAAAGCATGTATGAAAAAGAAGAATGACACTTGTTATTTGTCATTTGCTTAATTACTTCTCTCTCTTACTTTTTTTTCAGTGTGCCATGCACGTGAATGACGATAAAGACTTTTGTAGCTTTGCTATTTGTTTTTATTACTTACTACCCAAAAGAACTTTATTTTTTTTTATAATGGAGAAATTGGAAAAGGTGGAATTATAAGGGGGAACAAAAAACATGGCCATAAGCTAAATGCAGTGAAGTGAAGGGGACTTGAGAAAGGAGAGTTGGTTGGTCCCTCTAGCAATAAAAGATAGGGGGTTCCAATCAATGAATATCACTAGTACTACTACTAATGCATTAATATTAATTAGACTGTGCAGTTGCCTTCTAGTTATCTTAATGCTTCATGACCCATCACTTTTTGTTTGATTAATCAAATTACATTCCAAACATACAGGCATCTTCCTCCTCCTACCCTCTTCCCTATCCAACCTTCTTAACGCGGGATAAAGCAGTCCCTAACAAAGGTGATTTCATATTCAGAGAAACTCGAATTTGAGATTTCTAATTAAGGATGAAAAAATACTTACCACTCTGCCACAACCCATTGTTGATCCCTATCCAACCTTTGTGTGATCATAACCTTCACCTTTTAGCAGTGGCGGATCTAGGATTTAGAGTCCGTGGGTGCCAAATAGACTTATCGATTAACAATTATAAAAAAATAATAATAATGTGCCAGCTGTTTTTCCTTAAAAAAGTGTTCTTGGAACCTTTTTTTTCTTTTAAAAAAAAAAGGCAGCAAATTTCTCAAAAAAATAGGTACAAATGGGATTCGAACCCGCAACATTAGCCTTCTAAAGTTGCCCTCCTACCGTGGCACCACAAGCCAGTTTTGTTCTCTGGGTGGCACGCTTTATATTTATACAATATTATATATATATACCTATGTATATATAGAGTTTCCGTCGAAGTTCGGGGGTGGCGTGGCACCCCCACACGCCTACGTAGATCCGCCACTGCCTTTTAGGGAGAAACACACCTTTATTTTTCTAAAAAAGTGATTTGATATATACCAAGAGACTTGAAAGTTGATTCCATTTGTTATTTAGCTACTTAATGAGAGGTAATACTACATCAGAAAATGATCTTTAGCGATAATTAATTAACAATAATAGCTTAATTACCGCTCAAATGTATTTTTAGTGACAATTAGTCGTCTTTGTATATGTCCTTAAAGCCTTTAGCGACGTTGGATCCAATGACAATTAACTAATGACGATAAAGACTTTAACACTTTTCATTAATGTGTATATTTATTATCACTAAAAATTATTTTTTGTTGTAGTGTAATACATAATATTTCATTTGGTTTTAATATGTTTGTCCTACTTTCTTTTTAGTCTGTCTTAAAAAAGAATACCTCTTTTTTCTATTTCTCTTTAATTTTAATTTTTAATATGACATATTTAAGATCACAAAATAAATAAATTTTTAAATATATTTTACATATTATTATTAATATAAAATTTAACCTTCTTAAGTTTATTTCAAGTCAAAACTAAATAAATAAATAAACTAAAATAAAAAGAATATCAATTAGATACCTTTTGCTTATGTGGCAATGTGGTGTACTTCACCTTTGTGGAGCGTGAAGGAAAATATATTTTACGATAAGTTATTTTCTTTCTTTCTCTTCATCTTCTTCCTTCCTTCTACCTCGCACAATTATTTTTTAACATAAAGATACAAAATTTTATAGTGATAATAATTTGGTCAATAAAAGATAATTAATTATATTATATTATATATATTTGAGGATTCAATGGTACTATTGTAATTTCAACTATCAAGCGAAGTGACATTTACTATCGTGAAGTGGCTTTTTTTGCAAAAAGATAAAGGAAAACTCGGTAAGATATTAAAGAAATTGAATAGATGCGATCATAAACATAAATATTTATGGCTCGACTAAATATAAATTGAAACAAAAATGTTTCATATAAATTGAGACGAAAAGAGAGTATTGTACGTATACAAATGCCATTTACCCAGCAATTTATGTAGCCTAATTTAGAATATGAAGATTAGACTAATTAATTTTTAATGAGAATTTATAAGACATAATTTTTTCATTTTTCTAAGATTTTTTTTACATATTTAAAAATTATATAAAGATTTATTATAAATCTTAAGTAATAGTTAAAAATTAAAAATATATATAATGTATTTTAAAAAATTATGATAAAAAAAATATTATAGTGTATGACTTTGGAATAGTAATCTATCTTAATTTATGTAATATATTTCTTTTAATTTGCTCAAAGAAATATCTCCTTTATATAATTAAAAATAATGTAATTTTAATTTTTTTCTAGCACATAATATTTAAATTTATTTTAAATCATAAATTTTATTTTTTTATTAAACTTTATAGTTTATACCCAATCAAACGATCGTAACATAGTAATTAGACGAATGAAGCTACTAAAACACATAGAAATTTTAAAAATGATGTGTGCGCAATCTTATTCTTATCTCAATTATTTTATTATGGACCCGTGATAAACCCCTTCCTCAATAATAAGTACTCCTTCCGTTTCACAAAGAATAGTCTAATTTGATTTGACACGGAGTTTAAGAAAATAAAAAAGACTTTTGAATCTTGTGGTCCTAAATTAAAGTTATGTCAAAATTGCCTTTTAATCTTGTCGTCTTAAACATGTCACGTGGAAAGTTCAATTAAAATGTTACAAAAAAAAAAGGTTATTCTTTTTGAAATCGTCTAAAAAGGAAAGGAGGTCATTTTTTTTTAAACGGAGGGAGTATATACATATGTCCTACTCCTGTCTACTGACATTCATTATTTTTTAATCGTAAAAAGAGATACAAAAACCAAAAAAATCCTATTGGCCTTTCTTGCATTCAATATCTACCAGCATTTCTTCAGATTTTTGTCATTGCAATAAGTGAACTGCTAATTCATCATGACGAATATTTCGAATTATGTGGGTTCAATCGAATGCATTGTTTAATTGTGCGTATTTAATTTGGTTTAAGATGATATTTATATTTTTTAATTTTAGATTTGTACAAAATAAATATATAAATTATGATAAAGTTAAATAAGTACACGAATGCATTCATCATGGAATTTTGCATCTTTTGTGGCATTTTGCGTATTCTGTGGTGTCCTATATGTATTATGTTACATATGATATGTATGTCTACTTGTCTGACTTTATACAAGTTTAAGTACTTATTTGTGCACACCCAAATGAGGACATATATGTCAGTTGATGAGGACAAGTTAAAAAACACATTTATGTATTATGTCTAAGAAATTTAAAAGGCATAAAACACAAATTGGCATAATGCATAAATGTCCTCTTTAACTTGGTATCAACTTATATCTACACCCTCTAACTTTTGGTGTGTATAAGTAGATATTTAGACTATTTCAAAAGTTAAACAAGTAAACACACGTGTCCTAGAAAGCATAATTCATGTAGCATGTCATGTAGGACGCAAAACTGTCACATAGGGTGCATGTGTCTACATTTTCAACTATAGAAAAGTTTAAGTGTCTACTTGTACATACCCAAAGTTGAAGGACATAGATGTTAGTTGAAGCCAAGTCAAATGACACATTAATGTATTATTTAACTTAGCTTTAATTGATATTTATGTCTTCTAACTTTGGGTGTGCATCAGTAGACATTTACATTTGTATAAAGTTTAAATTTAAGTGTTAGAAAACATAAATATCCGTTGAATCCAAATTAAATGACACATTTACTTATTATGAGAAATTTCAAATGTATACATCCAATAATTCTATATCCTAATTTAGATTCCTATGATAATGATAAACGTGGTTTCAAGATTCCCACAGGCCACAAGAGGTCTTCCTAATAAGCAAAGAAGATTAATTAGACATTGCATGTTTAGTAAGTTTATATCTTTATAAAGCAAAATGTGAAAATGAGTTTAATTGATGTACTAGATTAGTCATTAGTTGAATTGTTAGTAACCATGTAGTACCAATTGTCAAATCACTTCTCAAATTAAATTATCAATGGACCAAACAAAGAAGAAAAACTGACTAGGTTGGGCATTATATTTGTCAGCACTATTTATAACTATTTCTGTTTGGGGGTATACCTCCTGCTTTTGCTCTTCTGTTTCATTAAAGACCACTTGACCAACCAACAAAAATTGTGGCACTCGGTAACTACTTCTTCATCTTTAACCAAAAATTTTAGATTCAGAGTCTTTTTGTATGCATAGTCATTTTTGTTACAAAACATTTTATCCTCAATGTGAAATTTTCTGATATAAATTTGAATTTAATCAAGCTCCATTATGGATATTGAACAACAGGTAAGAAACCAAAAATAAAAAAGGACCACTTGACTATAAAAATAAAAGATTAATTCCAGGAGTTAATGAATGAAGACATTTTAAGCTTTGGACATTGATATAGACTTATCTTATTGAAAATTGTATATTTATATATATATATATATATATATATCATTATATAATGGAGTCCCCTTTCCAACAAAGTGGTTCCCACAAAAAAGATTTAAAAATTCTAACGGATATGAACATCCACTTGTTCTTTTAAAAAAAATTAAGTCACAATTTAGAAAGAAAAAAAAACATTTTTTTTTATATTATTGATTTTAGAATATGCATGTGGCTTAT